TGTTGTCAAATAGTCACCTAGGGAGCTTACTTAAATTAATGCAGACCTCTGGACCCCAGTTCCACCTTCTGATTTGTGCGTGGCCTGGGAATCTGTATTTTAATGACCATCCCAGAATATTTCATAAATGTCCTTTTTGACCCTGTCCCTAATTTTGTGATTACCAGGTAATTATCTAAGTTTCATAGACCAAATCTTCTCTCTTTGTATGTAGTCACATACAAAGGGGTTGAAAGAAGGCTCTGGGACTCCACATCAAGCCATGAGCAAGGAACTGGTACTAGACTTGCCCTCCCACATTAAACAACTGGAAAACTGGGGGAAAAATATACAATATCACTGTTTTCAGACATTGGACAGTAGACAGTGTAAGACTGTGATTCCTGAGAGAAGGGAAACAGATGAAGTGAGGCCTAGGTCACCCTAGGTCTGCCCAGAGGTACTTCCTGGACTCTGGCACAGCGAGGGGAAACCCCAAACAGAGCATGGAGGTCTCATTGAGTTGAGGACAGACTGAAGTTTAGGGTGGCTTAGCTCGCTGGAATTTGAGGAACAGAGTCTGAAAGACTGGGGAGCTACGCAGAGGAATAGCTCCAAAAGTCTAGACTGATGGAATACTAAATTGTGCCTAAGTAGGGTGAAACTCCACAAGGCTGGGCAAAGAATGACTGCCAGGAAGGTATGAGCTGGACAATCCCCAGAGCTTATACAGAACTGGAGGTGGCTCAGCTCCACCCAGCCGGAGTGGAGAGATCTGATAAAGGAAAAGAAATCTTAAAAGCAGCTGGAGGGGAAAAGATACAGTACATACGGGGAACACACTAGAACAAAGATAAGAATAACTACTGACTTCTCATCAGAAACAATGTAGGCAAGAAGACAATGAAATAACTATTTAAAGTGCTAAAAGAAAAATTACTATCAACCTAGAATTGTACATCTTGTGAAAAATGAGGACATTTTCAGACAAATAAGGCAGAGAGAATTTGTTGCCATGGGACCTGGTCTACAAAAAAATGATAAAGTTCTTCAGGCTGAAGGAAACTGATACCAGACAGAAACCAGGACCTACACAAAGAAATGAGGAGTGTGGAATGGTGAATATGTGGGTTAAAAAAAGGCTTTAGTAATTTAGGGGCCAAGCATAGTTTCCCCCTAGTGGGTTTCATTTTAGAGACACATATAAACCTCATGTTTTTTTCTTGAGTTTTGAACACGGGCTTCCACTAGGCCATGGCTGCCTGCCTTGTTAGTCGTGTTTCCCCCTCAGTTGTACACTCAGCCATGAACTGACTACTCTGTGTCACGCGCTGGAGATAAATAAGACAAGGTGTCTGCACATAGGAGCTTAGAGCCTGGTGGGAAAAACAATCAAGCCCACAAAGAGTTAAAGTGTGATATGTACTACTTGTACCCAAATCCTGGCTCTACTCACTCAGTAGATCTGTGACCTTGGGAACTTACTTAACCTCTCTGTGCCTTAGTTTCCACAATTATAAAGTGGGGATTGTGGTGAGAGTAAATGCTTTAACTTACATAAGCTGGTAGAACAGTGCCTGGTATATAAACGCCTGATAAACATTAGCTATGTTGCTGTTATTACAATGGAGGTTTGCCAAGGAGGGCGTAAAGAGCACAGAGAAAGAACCTGAGTCAGAGACGGAGTAGGATGGAAAGAGAAGACACTTCAGAGGAGTGCTGCTTCAGCTGAGTTTTGAAGGACAAGCAGGGTTAGTGGATAAAGAAGGGGGAGAGACACTCCAGGCAGAGGCAGCAGCGTGGCCGTGTGAATCAGCACGTGTGACGAGACCACTGCAAACGTTTACAGTGAGGCTGCAGCACACAGTGCCTTCGCTGTAGCCCAGGAAATGCTCTGGGCGCTCTGGGGACTCTCTAAGAAGCCCTTCTGACTTCCTCCAAGGGACTCTTACCTCCTCCGTCATCTGATCCATCCAGGCTCTGCTGTCTGAGGCGATAACTGCCCCCCAAAAAAGAAGAGAGCAGAAAATGAGTTTTAATCACAGAAAAGAACAACTCAAATTTATATTCTATCCATTCTTTCTTCTAGATGAGAATGTACCTGGACCTCCACCAACTTGATCAAACCTAACTGGGCAACTGGGTCTGCAATGTGGTTGCAGCATCACACAGAGTATGATATGAATGCTCCCTCTGCCCCTGGCTCTGCCTTTGCAGCCACCTTTACCTAGAAACCTCCTTTCCTTTTTTTGGATATAAGTCTTAGAGAAGGCTAGGCTTAGGAAGCTGGTGCTGCCTCTGCCCATCTATACCAACAGAGCAGAAGGCATGGGTCAGTACCCTGATACCTGGACATACGATTCTATGAGCCACGAGGTGGGAGATGTGACACAGCCATTAATGCCAGAGTCCAGACCTTCAGCGGAGGAAGCAGCATTAACCAAACCCTCGATTCAGCCAGCGTAATTCCAGCCCCAGACCATAGCCAGACTCATACTGTCTTCTTTTTTAATGCTGTGTTCAACATAGACAAGACTGCACTGTTGACAAAGGTCACCATAGGATACCATAAGAATACTGGAAACATACTCTTCTATTTCTTCAGAAATCTTCCTTCCTAACCTGAAAAAAAGAACAGACAAGGTTTATGAGAACCCATTAGTCTCATGCCCTGGGGAAGTGTCTTGGGGAAGGGTTTCAAAAGTGGGGCAAATTAGTACCTCTCAAGTGCCTTATTCATCTGAATCTTCTTTATAGACCAAGTCCCACAACCAGCAAGAGAGAATGACAGACACTGTAGTGCCTTCTTATAGTCGTTTCAGCGTAACTCCAAATTAAATGGTTGAGCTTAAGTGCAGGTTGAGCAAGAGGGTTAAAATTCAAATGGATGCAGATGATACGGTGCCCTCTTTGTTTCAACCATTAACTGACCCATTTACAGAGCACTTTCTTATGACTGAGGCCCTGGGTCTTATTTGGTGCTGTGAGCTCTCAGCATGTGCAGCTTCCCAGGAGCCACAGTTCACCCTGCGGGCTTAGGAACTGTGTTTCTGTGTCCTCCACGTGAAGAACCAGAAGACCTTATGAGTGACATTGGGTGAGTAGCACCCCTTAAGACATTCCATGAGAACACAGAGCCTGGCTGACACACACATTTATCTAAGGCAGAGGTTCTCGCACATTAGTGCAGAAGAACCACCTGGGCAGTCTGTTAGACATACAGACTGGTGGGCCTGGCAGGTGGAGATTTCAGAATCAGCTGGTCTGGGGGAGGAGGAGGCCAGGAATGTGCATTTTAAAATACTAATCTAAGCAGGTCACTACTGACACTCTGAGAAACACTGATCCAAAGTCTTCTAAGTAAGATTGGCAAGACGATGATTAGTAAAGTTGGGTATATGGTGATTACATTTCTGTATGTCTGACAATTTCCACAATAACAGAGTT